AATACACGAGATAGTAGACGGAGAGGAAGAGAGGGAGAGGAAGAGAGGGAGAGAGGGAGAGAGGGAGAGAGGAAGATAGAGGGAGAGAGGAAGATAGAGGAAGAGAGAGAGAGAAGACGCTCGGGTATGTACAGACAATCTTAACCAAAGCCTCACAACCTACCAGGCAGACAGCCACCTACAACACCAACAACCCGCCGCCGCACCCGCACGCTCACACCATCTAATCCCTAACCCCCCACCGTCCAACCTCCTTCATCGCCTCCGTCCCGCCCTCACTCAGCTCGGGCCTTCCCAAAACACCAGCAACGCACCTCCAGCCATCCCTTCCCCCACCCCACCTCAGCACCTCATCCCTATACCTCGCGCCAGCAGCACGGTCCACCGACGCCTTGCCCGCGCCAAACACCTGCGCCCACACCTTGCCCGCAATCGCCCGGTCGAACAGGTAGCTGTAGTACGTGGCGCCGTAGCCGAACAAGTGGCCGAAGAAGCCCTGCCATGCCGTGCCCGCCGGCTCCGGGATCGTGCTGTGCTCGTTGTAGATGTTGTGGTAGACGCGCGAGGAGCTGAACGACTCGGCTGCAGGCAGGCGCGAGTGGTACGCCTGGTCGAGCATCGCGAGCAGGATCTGGGCTTCTGTTTCTGCGCCGCTGAGGCGACGGTCTATCGCCAGCCGCTCCTCGACAAGGCGATATGGCAGCGGCGAGTCCGTCTCGTAGTGGCGCGCGAAGAGAGCGAGCACCTCGGGTGCAGCGGCAAAGTGCTCCATCAGCACAGAGGGCAGCTCCGCAAAGTCCGTCGCGCACCGCGTCCCGCTCACGTTTTGCAGCTTCGTGCGCCCGCAGATCGAATGGATCGCGTGGCCCATCTCGTGGAAGAGCGTCTGTACCTCACGGAAGCTGAGCAGCGTCGGGCGCGCACTGTGGATCGTCTGCCCGTGCGTGTCAAAGTCGCAGATCAGGGCGATAGTCGGGAGCTGGTAAACCGAGTTGCCCGTTGGGTCAGCAGGGTCTGGAGACGACGCCATGCCGTCCGTTGCTGCCTCAACGGGCGACGCGAACGGGTGCGTCGTATTGGCTGCTTCGGCGATCTCCTCCCCGGAGATCAGGCGCGAGCAGCGGAGAGTAAAGTGCGCGGGGTTCGGGTTCTTGCCCGGGCGCGAGAAGAGATCGCAGTAGACAACCGCTATGTGGCCCTCGTTCTCGTCGATGACGTCCAAACGCCGCACATCCGTGTTCCACGTCTCTCCGGGAAGAGTCTCGTGAGGGACGAGCCGGATACCGTAAAGTCTAGAAAACAGGCGCGAAAGGCCTTGCATCACGGTGCCAAGGGAGAAGTAAGAGGAGAGGAAGTCAGGAGACCGGATGCGCGTGCGAAGAGACGAGATGAGCTGCTGGGTGTAGTAGTCCCTGTCCCACGCGTTCAAACGGCCTGGGAAGTTATCTTGACGCGCATCCGACTTCTTGAGCTCCAGGAGTTCCTGCAACTCATTGTTGACCTGGATATGGTTGTCCGCAACCAAAGCCTGAAGGAATTGGTTCACGGCTTCCGGCGTGCCTGCCATCTTGTCCGTGAGCGCCATGTGCGCAAAGCTCTCATAACCTGAAAGCTCCGCGAGCTCTGCCCTCAACTTGAGCATCTTTTCAAGTTTAGAGATATTGCCCTTGGACGCAGTCCGATTGGCCATGTAAATCTCTCTTCTAACATCAGGGTCCTCGACCGTCCTCAATGCCATCATAGCGGGCATGCCGATTGCAGGGAGTGTGATTTTGCCCCATCTAGTCAAGTTACGCGCCAGGTTCGGGTCCATGCCCTTCATCCTGGCACTGTCAAACTTCAAGTACGGCTTTTCCGGCGCCATGCCGTCAACGAAATCAGTCCCAGTATGGGTGATGTCGTTGGAAAGGTCCACGAATTTATGTCGCGCGCCCTCCGGCAAATCAATGGCCGACTTTGAGAAATCTCTCATGAGGATCTGCGCCACGACCTGCTCCTCTTCCGTCCACGAGTTCCAGATTTCCGGTATCAACGCAGCCTTTTTCAGCTGGTCGTTCAAGCCGGTCGTCGTGTTCAGACGGTTCATGTATTCAAACATGATGGCGTAGGCCTGGGTCGCGGCGGCCTGTATGCGCGGGTCGGGATGAGTCGAGCGGACAAAGTCAGCCAAGTCAATGACGCGGCATAGCAGGTCGCTGAGCCTGTCGAGGTCTCTGGATAGCGAGCGGTATTCCTCGATGGTGCTCGCGGCCAGCACCTTGTCCACGATCTTGATACATTTCTGCAGCGTGACCTCGGCAAAGTGCTGGAAGCCCTCGGGCTTGGTGAGGTAGCGATTCTGGAAGAGACCAGCAAGCTGGCCAGTCGACTGTTTCCTGGTCTGGGCGGAGAATTCCTTCCAGAAGGTGGGCGAGTCGAAGATACGACGCAAGACGCGGTCGTCATGAGCAGCATCGGGCGCCGAGTGAGTCGCGGGCGAACGGTCGACTTGAGCAGCGGCGGCGGCAAGGCTGCTGCCCAGACGACGGTGCTGGAGGCGCAGACAGGCGGCGCAAGTCCAGGCCTGTCTTTGGGAGCGCTTCAACATTGTTGTAACGGTTGGGATGTCCGTCGGGCGTGCGGGGACACAGACACAGCATGCATGACGGAACAAGCGGTTCCCGCCAAGCCTCGCCCGGGGAAAGAGCACCTCGCCCAAGCCCGAGTACAACGCATTCGCCATTCCCTCTCTGCTCGCTCCCGCCGCCACACGCACCCATTGGTCTCCCCCCTCTCCTCCGCCATGGCCTTCAGACCTCTCTTTAGCCAGGTACGCCCCCTGCCCTGACCCCCCCGCGCCCTGACTCTGACATAGGTACTTTATCCCAGCGCGCCGTCGTGCCCGCGACGTCCGCAATTCTTGCCGCCGGTCTCTCCCTCTACCCCGTCCGCTCCCTTCACGCCGAGGCGCCACTCACCTCCGAGATGGCGCGCGAGATCGTATGCCGCTCCAACTGTTTAGGCTGTCCGGCCCCTCTAACCCCGTCGCACAGGACCTCCGCAAGCCCATCTACGAGGACGCCGCTACCCCGGCCACTGAGATCCCCAGCCCGCCCAAGGCCGCGCCCAAGCTCTCGTCGCCCACGCCCACGGAACGTCTGGCCCAGCAGATCGGCCAAGCGCGCCTCTTCCTGCACGGCTACGCCGCCAAGAGCGAGGACCAGCTCAACAAGGGCCTGAGCGAGGCCTTGCGCCTGGAGAACAGCTTCACCAACACGATTGCGTCGCTGGCGCCGCCCAAGGAGTCGGGCGAGAAGGTGATGCCGGGCGCGCTGTACGTGGTCGTGGCCGCCATGGCCGGCAGCATCGTGACGCGCAACCGCAACATCCTGCTGCGCGCGACGGTGCCGGCCATTACGGGCGTCGTGGCCGCCCACGCCGTCCTGCCCATCACCACGCGCAACGTCGGCAACCTCGTCTGGTCCTACGAGGAGCGCTTCCCCGTCGTCGCGCACAACCACATCCTCGTCAAGGAGCGCGTCAGCCGCTTCGTCGAGACGGGCAAGGCCCACAGCCAGATGACGTTCGCCATGGCCGAGGAGAAGATTGGCAGCGTGAGGGAAGCTGTCGAGGACTGGGTCAGGCAAGGCAAATAGGCGTCAAGGCCTGGGGCGGCGGTATTTTAAAAGAAAAGACGCAGCATTCGTGAGTTTGTGCCGGGCGCTGGCAGACGCACAGCTGGGCATATTTTCGTTTGTGAGCGTACCGGATTGGGAGTAGACGGAAAATGTACCATCAGCGCAGCTTGTAGGTAAGACTAGAGAGTGGGTACCTCCATGCTCGGTCGTCAATTGTACAAAACTACCATTATTTTTGCTTGTGCTATATCAGTTTTGTTCGTTCTACTCGCGCTGAAGCACCATTGTCCGCGACGACATGGATAAGCGCTCGAATCTCGGAGTTTCGCGGAAATTCCCACGCGCTGCAATGTCACTAATAATAGCCCGCACGGCGCAACACCAAACCCCTACCACAGTCGGAAGGGGAGATATAATCACAATACCCATATCCATCGCGACATATACAGCCACGAACGCAAGCTCTGCATCTACGTAAAAAGTAACCCATAAAGCCCGTCCTCGGCTACGCAAGAAGTGGTACAGGCGCATACATTTGATTGGTGCAATTGCAGCATCTGCAATCATCTACCTTGACTTCAGAGCGACTTGACGAGTTTTTGCTTTGTGGAGGACTGTTTATTGCGTGCGCGAATGACAGTGTCCACCCCGCCGGCTGTGGTAAGTTTGTGCTGTGTATGTTGTTAGCTGTAAAACATAGCTGGCTTGACTAGGCGCTGGCGTTTAGGTCCTAGAACTGCGCTCACGCTTCCATGGGTATGTATGTATTGAGTGTTTTCCCTTACACCCAGTCACTGGATTATGACATGGGTTGTCTTCCCCCGATTGCAGAGTCTGCACATAATACTCATGTTTACATGTTTTTGTGTGCAGAGTTAACGCTTTCTACAAGTTGTTTTGAAGGAGCTGGGTCCGGAGGGTGTGTTTGTGGTGGATGTACGGAGTAGTAGCCCACAAAGACATTGCCGACATGTCTAGCCGTGGTACTTCTAGATATCTAGATCTGGCAGGAATAGGTTGGGGCCGACTGTTGCTGGATGTGCTTTGGGGGATGGAGAGAGGGCGCAGGGTCAGAGGACTCGACACGATGCGGTTGGTGATGACAGTAGGTATCTGAGAATACGTTATTGTTCCAGCCGGGCGAGAGCAAAGGGACCCAAAACAATGTCGGAGTAAAAAAGATGAAGTCGCTTCCGAGCTCGCCCAATCCCCGTAAGGTAGTTACAGTAAAGGTAGGGTACTTAGGCTGGCGCTAGCCTCCACGTCTTGGCACCCCGCGACCCCGCCATCGGCGACGACCCCTCCCTCCTTCCGTTCATCATCAGGCCGTCCTCCTCTCACCCACCAAAACGCCTCATCTACGCACCAAGCCCTCCACGCCAACCATACGCACATCTCCATCCGCGCGCCTTCACACACCTACCAGCACCCACCAACACCAACCAACATCCAAACATGTCCGCCACGACCGAAGGCGCGCCCGGCCACGGCACAGTCGCGCACCTGCTGCCGCAGAGCTACAAGCGCATGGTAGCAGCGTGGCTGGAGGAAGACACGCCGGACTTTGACTACGGGGGCTTCGTCGTCGGGGAGGAGGAGACGGAGGCGCGGCTGCTGGGGAAGAGCGAGGTGAGTAATGTTGGCTTTGCGTGGTTTCCTACGTCTTTTCCGTCTCTGAGTCTGTGTGTCTGCTTCTGGGGTTTGTGAGAGCGGTGCTGTGCATGGCTTTAAGAGCAAGGCAAGGCAAGGCGCAGCGAATCGCGCACGTCGGATAGCGGGCGGAGTTGCTTTTGTTTGCTTGGACGCCCACGCGACTGACTGACTGACTGACTGACTGACGCTCCCCCACCACGACAGGGCATCGTCGCCGGCGTCCCCTTCTTCAACGAAGTCTTCACGCAGCTGGACTGCAGCGTAACCTGGCACATTGCGGAAGGCGCCTCCTTCGCGCCCGTAACACACTGCGCAACGGTGCGGGGCCCCGTGCGCAAACTCCTGCTCGGCGAGCGCGTCGCGCTGAACGCACTCGCGCGCTGCTCCGGCATCGCGACGCAATCGGCGCGCACGCTCGCGCTGCTCCGCCGCGCCGGCTACACCTCCACGCTCGCCGGCACGCGCAAGACCACGCCCGGCTTCCGCCTCGTCGAGAAGTACGGCATGCTGGTCGGCGGGTGCGATCCGCACCGGCACACGCTGTCGACGATGACGATGCTGAAGGACAACCACATCCACGCGAGCGCGTCTATAACCCGCGCAGTCGCGGCCGCGAAAGCGGCGGGCGGCTTCGCCGTCAAGGTCGAGGTGGAGTGCCAGAGCTTTGAGGAGGCGGACGAGGCGATTGCCGCGGGGGCGGAGGTCGTGATGTTGGATAATTTTACCGGGGAGGGGGTGCGGGAGTGCGCGCGGCGGCTGAAGGAGAAGTGGGGGCAGCGGGCGCTGGTCGAGGTGAGTGGCGGGTTGACGGAGGAGAATGTTAGCCAGTTTGTGTGTGAGTGGGTTGATGTGGTCAGTACGAGTAGTATTCACCAGGGCGTCAAGCATGTGGATTTTAGCTTGAAGGTTGTGCCGAAGGGCAAGGGGGCGGGCGAGGTCAAGGGCGAGTCGTTGGAGGTTTAGCTGCTGCGCGTTGATTTACATACTGTACTAGGTGCTCTTACGATATGGCATACCTGCCTACCTGCCTACCTGGCCGTTTGCTCGTCTGCCTGTCCGCCCGTCTGCCCGGCTAACGCATGACCCGCGCACTACACCATCAGGACCTCCCACTCCAACTCTACCTACTATACCATATCCACATCCACCCACCACCAGCCATCTCCTGCAGCATATCGAGCCCTACCACACTGCACCACCCCACACCTACCCCCTCCCCTTATGCATACTATACTGTTCCCTCAGCGCCTCCAGCTCCCGCTGAAACTTCTCCATCTCATCCAGCACATCGGCACCAGCACCAGGACTCACGACGTCCGCGCCACTAGCAGCACCAGCAGCAGCACCACCATCACCACCAGCAACGTCCACGCTCCCGGCCCTACTCCCAGCAGCAGCAGCATCCTCGTCCTCCTCATCCACGCCCCTCACGCGCTCAACCTCCCCGCTCCTCCTCCCCCCCCCACCACCACCACCACCAGAACGGTCAAACTCCCCGCTCCGCCGCCCACTACTCCTCGGCGGGGGCGGAGGCGGGGGCGGGGGCGCACCTCCAGGTGAGCCGCCAGCGACATCATAGCCCGACGAGTTGGAGAGGCGGTGGCGCGCCTTCTTTGACGCGGCAGAGCGGTGCGAGGACGAGCGGCTGGGCGTTGTGGTCGCGACGTCTGTGGTCGACGCTGCTGCGGAAGCGGAGGCGGAGGCGCTGGCGCCGGAGCGGCGGGTTGGCGGCGGGGGCGGGGGTTTTGCTGAGGTGGAGGTTGCGCTGGAGGGCGTGGGCGTGGAGGTGGGTGGCAGGTTGGGGAAGGACGTCGTCAGGGCTGCGGGGTGGTGGGGGTGCGCATGCGAGTGGGGATGTGCTTGGTGCGGCGCGGCGGCATAAGGGAAGGGATACGCGTCCGTGCCGGGGACGTCGCCGTCGAGCGGCATGTCCAGCTCTTCCTCTGGGACCGACGCCGCGGTCGTGGCGGAGCTGCTGCGCGAGCGAGACGAAAACGCCCCGGACATGGCCATGCTGTTGCTGCCATTGCCGCGGAGCTGGCTATGCCGTCGCGCGGCTGGTGGAGGGGGCGGCGCGCGCTTCTGCTGCGGTGGTGGTGTTGGCGCTGCCGCGGGCGGCGCTGCTACGGAGGCGGCGTCCTCCTCTACCGACATGCTTCTCGACGGCTCGGCGCTGGACCTGCGCGGCGGGCGCGGGGGAGGGGGTGCCGGCTTCGCGGCATCAGAGGACGAGGAGGCGCGGTGCGGCGGCGGCGGTGGCCGGCTGGTAGCTGGAGCTGGAGCTGGAGCTGGAGCTGGAGATGGAGCTGTGGGCGTGGTCTCCGAGGGCGAGAAATCGCTAAACGAGACGGTCTGCGGACCGCGCGAGGGCATATTGATGGAGCGACCGTACTTGTGTCGCGGCGGTGGGGGCTTAGCTTTCTTCTCAGACTTGGTGCCATCCGGCCTGCCACCCGTCATCTCGTACGAACTGCGGCGCGAATCCGCGGAAGGCACGGGCTCGATGCCGGAGCCGGAGCCAGCGCTGCTGCCGCTTCCACTGCTGCCATTATTGCTGGTGTCGCCGAATGCGGGTCGAGCCGTCGCGGATGATGATGGTGGTGGTGGTGGTGACGACGATGCCGCTCCCGCGCTCCCCGTCAAGAGCAGCCGCTTGAACTGGTCCACGTCCATTGACGCGCGCGCCTTGTGCGCACCGCCCGCTGCAGGGCCGGCGTTCTCCTGTGCCGGCTCCATCGACGCCAGCGTGCGCGCGAAGGGGTTGGGCACTGCGCCGCTGCTCGTCCGGGAATGCGACGACGCGGGCAGCGCGGGCGACTTCTGCGCGCCGAGCTCCAGGCCGTCCAACGGCTCGGCATCGTGGTCGTAGGCTTTGTCGTCTGGAAGCTCTTCTGGCGCGGGAGGCGGCGGAGACGCGGGGCTCGGCCTCGTAAGGGGCGCCGGGCTGTGGAAAGCGCGGGGCGGAGGAGAGGCGACGCGGACCGTCTTCTTGGGCTTTGCGGATGCGGCAGCTGGGGCTTGGGGGAAGTTAGTCGAGTCGGGTGTCGGGCAGCGAGGAGGGATAAATACGCTTAAAGTCGTCACGGTAAAGCTGCTGCTCCTGGTGCTGCTGGTGCTGCTGCTGCTGTTGTTGTTGTATGGAGCGGCGGAAGGGATTGGCCGACATGGTGGGCTTGCGGTCGAGTTCACAGATACAGAAGCAGAAAGGCAGACATCTTGAGCGGGCAGACCGGGGGAAGAGGTGAGATGGGCTGGCGCATCGCTTGCTTTGCACGTCACTCGGTTGCAAAACGACCCCGCCATGTCATCGCCGAATCCACCACCACGACAGAAAGGTACTAGCTATAGCTATGTATTATACAAATGCGTTTGTCTGCACCTAATCACCGTCCCTTGAATGCCGGCTTCCGCTTCTCCCGGAACGCCAGCAGCGCCTCGTCGCGGTCCTGCGTCGCCACGACGGCTTCATAGCATTTATTCTCGACGCTCTCGCCGCCCGCGCAGCCCTCAACGGCCGCCAACCCCGCGCGCACCGCCAACGGCGCGCCCTCGCAGATGGTGCGTGCCAGCTGCACCGCCTCATTCAGCACCCTCTCGCGCGCGACGCCCGACTGGCCCACCTCCTCCGGCAGCACCTGCACCAGCCGGTCGCACAGCCCGAGAAAGTACGCCTCCGGGCCCGCCACGCGCCGCCCCGTCAGCACCATGTCGCGCGCCCGCGCCAGCCCGATCAGCGCCGGCAGCCGGTACGTCCCGCCTGCGCCCGGCACAATGCCCAGCCGTGTCTCCGGCAGCGCGACCGTGGCGTTCGTCCCGAAGACGCGGAAGTGCGTCGTCAGTGCCAGCTCGAGCCCGCCGCCGAAAGCGAGCGATGACAGCGCCGTAATGGTCGGGATGGGTAGGCCTGCAATGGCCGTGAAGGTGCCGCGCAGCGTGGCCAGGAATTCGGCGGTCCTGTGCGCGTGGGCGTGTCAGCTCTTATGATCATTCGGGCAACAGGTAGGACAGTCTTAGGGAGGAGGGGACGGACTGCTCAGGCGTAAAGGTAGCGCGCTCCTTGAGGTCCGCGCCGGCGCAAAAGCTGGTGTCGACGTCGCTAGCGAGGACGAGGGCGCGGGTAGGACCGTCGACGCCCTCGGCCGCGACGTCCTGGACGTGGCGGCGCAGCTCGCTGAGGAGCGCGCGCGAGATGGCGTTGCGAGCCTCGGGCCGGTTGAGCGAGAGGATGCGGATGGAGCCGCAGTGCGGGGCGGGGACGCTGGTCGACTTGACGAGCGGCTGCGCCGAGCTCGAGCTCAGCTGCCGCACGCTGCGGCGCGGTGCCTGCACCAGCGTGCGCGAGAGAATCGTTAGGCGGAGGGGGGTGGGCGCCATGGTGTTGATGGGTGCTGCTGCTCTTTGCCGGAGCGATGGAAGCTTAAACGCCGAATGTGGGGTATCAGGTACCGAGGATCCGTGTGGAAGCAGACACCAACTACTACCCCGTTGCAGTCGCATCCTTACAATCAAGGTATGAGAGGGTACGCGGGTGGGCAAATGTCCGGGGCTGGCTGATAAGACACTGCTGGCTCTGAAGGAACTTGGTAGGTGGTGTAGGTATTGGATGAGGGCTTTCCCAACCAGAGTGCGTCAATCGGTGGTCAAACGTGCTTTGCCTCTCTCGCTGAGTTCACATTCCTTCTTACGCTTTCAATCGGCTTTCGTCCAATTCCTCCCTGAACAAAGCGACAGAATGAAACATGGAGGGAAGCTAGATCGTTTCTTCCATAAATGGTGCTCTCTGATAGTGTTTCCAGTACTTACGGGCTTCGGCTGCTTGGAGCTAAAGGAATATATCTAGTGGTCATATTCGTGGGCGGATGCGTGGCGCCGTTGCCGTAGGAATGTTCAGTGAAAGAGATAACGACCGTGGCTTCCATTTGGAGAATACATGACATAGTATACGAACTTCCGAGCTCGGAAAAGTGAACCATGATTCTTCCACCACTCATGCCATCATCGTCCGCTGTGCAGATCTTTGAGTTAAGATGGCGCGGCGCTGTCAGTAACTTCATGGCAGAACTCTTCCTCGCAGAGCGCACTACAGCATCTCTCTGGATGAGCGCTGTTGCTGTTGCGAAAAACAAGACAAGATAGAACAACACCGAGTGGTAGTGCTTACTTATCTATATAGTGCCTGCCTTTATTCTCGAGTGAAGCCATCCGGCCAGGCTTATCGACCTAATAAAAAGCAACCCAACACAAGCACAACACCATCCCAATCTCACTCTCACTCACACTCACACATAGTCAGCAGAAGCACCAAAACCAAATAGAAATAGGTAAATAAAAAATAAAAACCAGGCACCCAAAACACAAAAAACTGAGCCGCCCTGCAGAGCAGCCCAGAAAACCAACTTAATGGTTTTTTTAATTGTAGAGTTCACCCACGGCAGGATCGAACCCAGCACCCCCCGGGGCTTTTGGACTGGTGCTTGACTAGTGTACTTACACCAATCACAGTTCTGTGGAATTCCACTGAGCCAACCATGATGGAAGACTACCCACGATGGGTACTGGTTGTTTTCGACAAATTGACTTATGTACTACAGAAAACTGACCTGCGCTTATCTGTCGCTCTTGCCTGCGCTGTTTTCGCGGCCGCAGTGCAGCGTCAGACTTCAGTGTTCAGAAGTCACGCTTTGAAGTTTGCGCGGCTTTGACGTTTGTGACGACACAACCCTCAATTTACTATATATTGAACGCAGTCGAACAATCCATTTCCTTCCAGTTATAGCATGTCACAAAAGTGAAATCTACCATTTTCTTTTCCTTCCCTGATATCAACGCTTGGTGAACTGTAACCTGCAATAAACGGTCGGCCGAATTTCAGAAATGACTAATTTTGTAGCAAGGAGTGAGACGGGTACCCGACGTGAGAAATTTTTTGTTTGTGTTTCCTTGGTTATAAGATCGAGTGAAGTGTGTAGTCGACGTGAGAAGCTAACTGGTAATTGAGAGCAAAGTGTGTGACTGTGTATTGGAGTCGGCAGGAATGGGTGGTGCTCTGATGTTGCACACTGAGGCTCGGAGCCTTGGCCATGACGAAGACGACCTTCATGGTTTTGACTACTGATGAGCGGTTGGGGGCATAGGAGTAAACACTAAGACGATGGCAGCATTGGCAGGGAGCCGAACATTGTTGGAAACGAGAGAATTGTGCTAACTGCTTATTAGAGGCCCTCCGGCTGGCGCTGCTTGAAGTGTTTGCGTGAGTTATTTGCGGCCGACTGATTACTGCTTGCAATAAGCTGAAGTTTTTTGTGTGAGGCGATGTGCTGCTATTGCTTGTGATGCGATTTTCTTGCTGCTTAGGTATGATGGGTCAAAACAGTGACAAATGTTGATATCCAGTGGTTGCTAAGGGGTAAATTGAACCTGTGTGCGCAGTGGCGTGCGCGAGAGATTCACAAACTATTACAGATTGGACAAGAGACAGAAATTGAAGCTGCGAAGGCCTATAAGCAACTGGACTGTCTAAGCCCACTAGCGTCCCGAAAGGCTGACTGAACAACCACACCGTCGGTTTTGGGACATGTTGGTTGAAAGAGTTGAAGAGTGCTGGCTCAGGTGAGGATTGCAAGTTGAAGTGAGAACTGCTGGTAATTGAAGGAAATAATCGCTGGTTGCAACAAAGTGTGCCCATCGATAAGAGACACCGAATAGAGTGTGTCTGGTTGAAGAGAAGTCTAAAGCGATAGGTGATGTGCGGATTGTACATGACGGAGAGTATTTATGCCGAAGACATGGGCTTCCCCATAATGTAGCTACGGCTCAACAGCCGCAGCCAGAGGGGGAGGCTTTCTTCTATTTCCTTCAGGGCGCTCTGCGCCTTTTCTTAGAAGGGTGGCCGTCACCACCGCTGCCATCGTCCTTGCGCTTGCCGCTTTCGCGTTCTTCTATCTTTTGCTTAACGGTGGCAATGATGCCGTCTACCATCTGCCGGTCGGCCTCGCTTCGTTTGCCCGCCTCATGGACCAACTGACGAAGCATTTCCTCACGTGCGGAAGGCAGGACATATAGCCCCACGGCTCGCCGCTTGTCGACGGCAGCATAGCAGGACAATCCCTTACCGTGATGACGCTTGCACTTCGGACATTGGGGGGTCTTGCGATCTCCCCAATGCGGGTTGGCGCATTTTTTGCAGAGTGGAGGATCCTTCAGTGCCGTCGTCTTCGGCTGGAACTTCGGTTGGAGCAGTTTTCTGCCAGCCTCCATGTCAGAGTCCATTGCCAGTTTCGCAGCCTTGGGCAGGCAAATCTCCGGGTGCTTCTTCCTGCAGTTATTGCATGGAGGCTTTCCAGCAACACGCCAGACAGCCCTTTGGTCATCATACTTTTGGAAGGCGATGAAATATAACTTGTGAAATTGCAGCAGGAGGGTGTCATCCATCCAAGGAGGGCCTCTCTTGGGCTCCATTTTGAATCGAGCGGAAGGAGTATTCCGGCCGAAGCCAACAGGACTGTCCTGGACAGTACCAACTATAGGACAGGTCTGATCGACTCCAGAGAGACTCGGGGCCTGAGTGAATTCAAGACCAAGAGTGGGTTGGCCGGAGCCAGAGGGACTCAGAATTTGGCTGGAACCAGAACCTGGATTTTTTTTTTTTTTT